ATGGCAAATGAGTGAGAGGAATTGAAAAATTCAGGGGTAAAGTGAATAGTATATGAGTAGACAAGAAAAAGCAATCCCTACAGTTTTAAGTAGCACTGAAAAAAATGCCTGTAGTGAAAAGTGGTAATGGTTTCATGTACAACAAAGAAAAAAAAAAAAGCAATTTAACGAGACAAATTCCATTTTGTCCCCATGTTATAAAGAAATTATTCTTGAAGTTTATTGTTTGATTGCGAACAGCTTGAGGTTAGAAACTGAAGACTGATTCACATCTATTTATACCTGTATATCTTCTTCTTAATTTACTTCTGGATTGTTTACCTTGTGGATTTTTTCCTCATTTTCCTTGGTGTTCATTTTCTGTTCCCCAGAAAATGCACATGGGAATATTTGATTTGAAATGTACATTCTCACTGTTGAGTTGGTATGGACATTGAATACAGTTATGGTATGAACTTGACAATGGGTGCAGTACTTATTTTGATTGTGTTGATTGAACAATTCAAAGTTTTGTTCTCTATTGCTCTCCTTAATATTTTTATTTTTTGTTTTTAAATTCACAGCTGGAGGCTCTTACTACATGATTTCAAGATCTTTAGGGCCAGAGTTTGGTGGAGCAGTGGGACTTTGTTTCTACTTGGGTACAACCTTTGCAGGAGCAATGTACATTCTTGGTACCATTGAAATTTTATTGGTAAGTACTAGTTTCTATTAAGGTTAAATGTATTTGGGCTGTTTTGAGAGATTGCTGAGGAATACACTTGGCCTAAAATGCATTTTATTTCAGTGATTTTTGACATTTTGATACTACATTTCTACCATGTCAATATTTATTCTTAACTCTACTTGTGACTATTTGAAAAAGTTTGAAAAATTCTGATCAACAATACAGAAATAAATGAAAGGCTGTTTGATGTAAGTTTGTCCTACTTAAGGAAGGAACCAAACAGAATTTGGTAACTGACACTTACTGATTTGTACTAGATACAATGTATCTGTTGGCACCTTCTCATAACATGTTCTGAATACCAAATGTCCAATAAATTATGCTTGTGCTACTGTACACCTACAGAGCTGCAAGGAAAACTATATTAACTTCAGTAAGACATACCTAAAATTCCCAGACTAAAGATATAGGACCAAACTGGAGATGAAAAATAAATAGGAAATATTTCAGTAGATTTTGCAGAAAAGAACATCAGATCCACAGGTAGGCTTTAGAGACATGTTAAGATATAATTCAGTGATTTTTTGTACCCACTTAAAATTACAATTCTTGTATCAAAAATGACAAAAAATGCCACAAGAAATGGCGCAGTCCTTAGTGAAATGTCACATTAGATTGCAGATTAAATCAGTTGACAGTGTCTATTCTCAGGGCCTCTGAAGTGTCATTTGGATTTAGTGATGCTAGGTCAGTTATTGTAGTTTAAAAAAATTGTTTATTTACAGCTGTGATGGAATTAATTTCTACTTTAAATATTTGTCTGCATACATTTGTGGCACACCATAGCAAACTTACAAAAAGTTTGAGCCGTATATTATGCTGCTTTTGTGTCACATATCCTCATTTCCTTTTCCAAAGAAATATGCGCAGTAGCACTTTCTTTAGGCCACCTTAGACTTGGAATTGAAAAGCTAAAGATTCCATCTTAAGAGTCAGTTTATCTCTTTTGCTTTGGAGTCTCCCTTTTCTTCAACTCTGAAGTCTTACTCATTCTTTTTCTGTCATCTAACACAAGAAGTGGTTTTGGTTCCTTTCCTGGTGACTCTCACAACTTTCAAAAAGGATGTGGATTGCATGGTATGACCCATCCATCCTATGTCTTTTCAAATTTTTTTATTTTTTTTGTTGGTTGGTCGTCTTGCTGTAAAGTCTCAATATATATCCTGTTTCATTTTTCCCGGGCTGTATGCCTTTGAGCCCTGAATCCTTTTGTGAGCTCTTCGAGGGAGTTTCCACTTACTTTGTATCTGCTGGAATTAATTTTCCATTTTACTGCTCTAGTTTTGAGGTCACAACTATAAGATTTTAAATCTGGCAACTACTTTCTAGAAAGCAGTCAACACACCTAGGTGGCTCTACATTTCTGTTGGAAGAGCTACTTGCTCTGGTTAAGTATGGCATAAGTCATTAGCACTATGTGGATGGGATTTGGCGCACTGTTCTCCCTACTGAAGAGTTGTGCTCGTTTTATGTATTGCTAATAAACATGTATGGGGCTCAGTTATGGAATACAAAGTAAAAAGCCTCCCAGGATGTCTCATCTGGCAGAAGACCTCAGAACAGACCCCTGTCACAGCCACAAGGTGCAAGTATTGATTTTTTTTTTTCTGTTCTCCACTGGGACATGGATTATTTGGAGGGGCAGAAATGGGGTGTCTGCCTGTGGCTTTCCCCAGCAAAGGCTGTGAACAGCAGGGCAACGAAGTGCACAAGAAATCCTTCTGGAGTACCCTCGTATGGAGCCTGATACTTCTGCAACATCATAATGTATGATTTTCTAATAATGATATGTAAATAGTCTATCTGTAATCAGTTTTTTGTTTTCTCTTCTGGTTTTCTTTCGTGGTGATGTGACAATTTTCATCTCTTCTAGCACTGAGGTAAATACTAATTTACTAGACTTAGGTTAAAGGAAATTATAGTAAAGAATTGCCTATGTCTATTTTTGGATTTTGAGTCTGAACATATCAGCCTCCTGCACAAAGTTTCTAAAGGCAGGAAGCCTTTAGAAGTTAGATTATTTAAGGGTAGTCAGTTTAGCAGTTGTTTGGAAGGAGTGGAGTTGCCTCAAGCCCAAATACTCCCCTAGTAGCTGAGCGGAGTTTTGTTTTTGTTTTGGGTTTTTTTTTTTTTTAGTAAAGGTGTTAAAAGGAGGAGTAAAGATATCGTTGTCATGTCTCAGATATCTTTATCAAGTATCTCAGAACTGTAGGTCAGGGTTTGTCTTTTCATTTGCATTTATCAGTGTAAGTCCTATAACCTGTGCTTCCTACTTCTTTTCAGGTAGAACCCAGAACAAAATCATGTGAAACTGAGATCAGTAAGAGAATCATGTTTGAAATTAGTAGTTTAAATTGTCTATTTTAGCACAGGACTAAGCTTTGTTGCACTAATCTTAAATTGTGTTCTTGCAACTTCAGATTCAAAATTAAGGTAAATTCACCATAAAGCATTTTTCAAGGTATGATGCTTAAAGTATCTTTCTTTGAATTTTATGAAATATAATGCAGGGACTATTGTACTGAAAATCTTCTTAGGTTTTTTATTATGCTTTTATTTGACCCTTCATATTTTGTTTCAATCAGTGGAATTACTAATCAGCAACTGCTTCATATGAATCTAGGATATATCTGGTTTGAGCTAGGTGTTGGTTTTAGTTTTTTCTTTTAATTTTTGTCGATAGCTCCTCCTGCCCCCCCCCCCCCGGGCCGCGGGGGTTTTTTCCTTTGCGTGAATTTGAGGAGCAGAAACTTTTAAAGGGGAGAGAAGAAGCTGGATCAAAAGCAGTACCTCATTCTCAAAACTCATTTTTCTTCATCCCTGCCTCCCCTTCCTTTTACCTCTGCACTTTCCAAATGTCCATGTCTTGAACTTGCTGTAAAAGAATAAAACTGATACTGTAATAGAAGCTTGTATTTTGAAGCTCAAGTAAATGATTTCTTATTAAAGTGTTTGTTACTAGATGTATGATAGCTTGCCCATATTTCTTGCAGACCTACATTTCTCCAAGTGCTGCTATATTTAAGGCAGAAGAGATTGGTGAAGAAACAGAGGCTATGCTGAACAACATGAGAGTTTATGGAACATGTATCATCATTCTGATGGCCATAGTAGTTTTTGTAGGAGTAAAGTACGTCAACAAACTTGCACTGGTCTTCCTTGCCTGCGTGATTCTTTCCATCATTGCCATATATGCTGGAGTTATTAAAACTGCTTTTGACCCACCTGACTTTCCGTAAGTGCGGTAGTGTGGGTTATTTAAAAAAAAAAAAAAAAAAAAAAAAATTAAAAGTTGGGCGGAGGGAATAGCTACTGTAACCATTTTGTGTTTTTAAGCTAAACTTCAGGCACACTGGCTCCAATGGTAGGTTTTATGTGCTTTAGGCAATTATGTGCTCATTTTTTATTGTGGATTACCGATATAATTCTTTCTGTCATTGTTCATGACATGACACTCTGGAAAATGATCTTTGGTTACTGGCCAATATTCCATTCACTCCTCAAGAACAGGAAGGTGGGTTTTGCTGACAGCTGCTTTATCTAAAGAATTAAACTAAAAACCTATAGAATAAAGTAAAAACTTCAAGAAAACATTGTAGCTATGAACCATAGTTATGAAAGAAACTTATTTTCAAACTTTCTTTGTCGTGAGGAAATTTTTGAAACTTCCATTTTTCCCTACTTAAAATGGAGATATTGCAGTGTTAAATTCACTTGTGCGTGTGAAGGCTTTCTACCTTCTTGTTAATAAAATCAAAGTTTATTGTTGTCACATGCAGCATATTGTTTCTCAACACCTTTAGCTTGTACCTCTCTTAGTGAACTAAGAACCATTTCTTTTGTCCAGCTATCAGTATGTGAGTTGCATTTTTGTACATCTCTCTCTGTTTGGAGAGAAAATGAAATGATACTGCTTAACACGTTAGTGAAATAGCCTGGTAACTTTTGTTGTGAAATGCCATCTGTAATGCAGGCCTGAAGTTATCATTTGCTTTATGGTTGTTACAGATTCCTTAGTACTTCAAATTGTTGATGTTTGCGTTGTGAATTGAGCATTAAAGCAGTACTTGTAGACTGTACTGTAAAATGATACCAAGTCTTCAACTGAAAAAATAAAAGTGTGTTCAAAATTGAAATTTTTCTGAAGAAAACTTGAATTTCTAAGAAACTGTAATTTCCGGTAGGGAAATACTTAAAACTTTTAGTCACCTGTATAGGGAAAAGAGGGTTTATCTGGATATGTAGCATAGGTAAGAGCAACTATTATTATTACTACCAACTTCCTGGAAGCCTTATCTGTGGCTGCTCCTGTGATCTATTTTTGTTTGGGGTGGGGTGGGGGATAATAAAGGTTATCTTCCAATAAATATAGTTGTTCACATTTTGGCCAGTCTGCCTCAAAATGAGAAACACGAGCGTGGTTTTGTATTATGGTAAAGCTAATCTGTGGGTGAGTTGGCGCATCGAAAACACCAGCTTCCACTTAGCTGGTTAGTTAGGTTGACGACACTAACCTCCATTGGGTTTGGCCACTGTGTCGATGGTAAAATAGATTACGTCATGATGTCCTGGTTGAATCAAACTGGAGTAGTTTCCATGGGTTGAGTCAACTCACACCGCTGCTGTAGGGCTACCAAATCAGTAGCAATGAAAAAGCAAAATGAGCAAGGCAAGTGGCAAGATGACATCCTCTTTTCCTTTCTGAGTGTTTTAATTGCTTCCTGCTATGTGATTCTTTTTAATTTGTACTTCCATCAACATTTTCAAATTTTGCTGTTTACCCCTCCTGGCTTACTTCTTACCTTTTGGATTTTAATGTTTGCTAGAAAAGGGCATGACATAATTGCTTAATCTTATTTTTGTAGTTTCTTGGTCAGGCTTACCGTTATATTAAGTATTACCTAATTTCACTTCTTTCTTGTAGGACCAAATGAATCATGATTTCTGTCTCTAGTGGCCAAGATGCTTGAGTTGACTGTATTTGCCAAAGAATAAATCGGAAGGCGGAATAGCTATTAATACCTTAAAGTAGAAATGTTTGATCAGTGGTTTAAAGATTATTGGTGATAGTTTTATATGCAGAGACTATGTACTGTTTTAGGAGATGTAGTATAGGCCATAAGATAGCTACTATAAACAATAGGTTTCTGAAGAAGTCTAATGGACAAGAAATGGCTTAATGCACAACACTATATTGAAGGACCATTGTTTTTATCTTTTTTTGTTTATAGTATCTGTCTCCTTGGAAACCGTACATTGTCAAAACGCAGCTTTGATGTCTGTGCCAAATTTACTGAAAGCAATAATGAAACAAAGACTACAACTTTGTGGCAACTATTCTGTGATAGTTCTTTGCTTAATGCTACATGTGATGACTACTTTAGTCTCAATAATGTAACAGAAATTCAAGGGATTCCAGGAATAATGAGTGGAGTTCTAACTGGTAAGTTGGAAAGCACTGTGATTTAAAAATTTTTGGACACTATTAATTTGGCCTCTAGCTGTTCAGTAATGTAGTCATCTAGCTTGTCACTACTTCTTTAGCTCTAATCTGTTTGTGTGAAAGATTGCTACCTGGAGCATGCTTCCTCATATGAAGTTTCCATCTGGTTTTAGATGCTTAGTATCAAATGCTTTAATTTTGGGGTCATTGGAGTTTTATAGGCACTCTTTTAAAAGCCATTGTTCTATCGAAAGAAAAAAAAAGTAGGAGAGTGTTTATCACAACTAATTTTTTTTAAAGTGTGTAGCTCTTTTGTATGCCAAATGCACTTATTGAAATAAACTGTTCATTAATACATTTTCAAACCCTCCTGAGGGAGAACTTGTTTCCAATTTACAGGTGGTACATTGAGGAATGAGCTCCTGTGGCTTGTCCAGTGTGATACAACAAGTTAGTGATGGGTTTGGAGAAAAGCAGATGTTCTAGCTTCTGGTCTAGCATTTGGACAGGACAGCATTGTGTCAGCTTGGGATTCCAATTGCACTGGGTCATAAGATTAGTTTTGAACATGTAATGGATTGGATTGTATATAAACAAAGAATGTTTCTGGGGATGAAATGGATGTTCCGATACCTCTCTCCTGCTTCCCCTTAAAATAAGGTTTGAGTTATATAAATATGCAAATCTACATAGGGACACTAAGTAGTCACTACAACTAAAATAATTCAGTTTAAAATATCAAATATAAGGTGTATAAATACATAAAAAAGATACTAAATTAAGTATAGGCATCTAAATTTGTATGTTTAAAAAAACCCCCTCAATTTCCTCAATGAAAAATTAAATTCTTTTCAATTGAAATGTTTGCTACAAGAAATGTGACTTGGGGTTTGTTATATGCATTTATAATTTACCACATGCATATCTACTGTTATTTTTCCTGAATGTGTTTACATTTTCTGCCCCAGCTCAGAAGACAACTGTTTGTTCTAATTTTCTGCTACAGTGTAAGCTTTAAACTGCTTGTTTGCTTTTGCAGGTTTCAGGCTGAGTACTAATTTTTCTTCTTTTGGAAAAATGTGCTTTGGTTCTGTTCATTGATTTAACATTTCTTTGCACTAAGGCTACTGTATAAAAGTGCATTTCACTATTCTACTGTCACATAATGCTATTGAGAGTCTGCTGAAAGCCTAGTGTGAGGGATACATACTCTGGTATTCATTGCTTGTTGTTTACCTATAGTCAATTTCATCAACTGCATTCTGTTTAGTTGCTGAGTCTGATATGTTTTTCTGTAGCTCTTTGTTGTTGGTTTTGCTTCTACAACTTTGAATAACTGAGTATTACCAGTAAGCTTTCTCATCTTGCCACTAGCTCATTTTTTCCAGGCTGTTTGAGTGTACTGGAAAGCACTGGTTACATCCTCCTATTGATCCTGTTGAAGCTTACTATGTCTTTCCTGCACTATAATGCTGTTAAATACATTTACTCTTACCTGTTGTTTTCTGTCTTTGAACCATTTTTTTATCCGTGTGAGTTTTCCTCTTATCCCATGGCTACTTGGGATTCCTTGAGTGATGAATCTTTCAAAAACATGGGAAATCCAGGTAGACTGAATTAAATGGATTGCCTTAATTTATGTTTTCCCTCAAGGAACTTGAATACATCTGACAACTTGCTTTTACAAAAGCTATGCTGAGACTTCCCCAGTTCCTCAAAACTCAAGAAAAAAACTGTGAATAGATGCTAGTTTTGTCAGAACTCAATTTGGGTCATGTTTCAGTCTTTAGGTAGCAATATGACTTCAGGTAAGCACACAGTTAGCACCTCAGGTCTTTCAGTATTCTTGGTGGTTTCAGGCTGAGTACTAATTTTTCTACTTTAGGAAAAATGTGATCTGATTCCGTTCACTGATTAACATTTCTTTGAACTAGCACCACGGTATAAAAGTGCATTTCACTATCCTAGTGTCATGTAATGCTAAGGCTAAATTAAGTGGATCGCCTGTATTGCTTGCTGAGTGTGCACATGTTCTGATAACCTAATGTAAGCTTCAACTTGGCTGGCAAAGATTTCTCAAGGAGGATTTCCCTCCACTGATGGCACATTATGCTTTGTGTGAGGACTCTGCAGCTGCAGACTCTGCACATTTAAGTTTCTTGAGCTGTGACTGGGAATACTCAGCTTATCATGCCCGAGTGTCTCAGGAAGCATGTGCGAAGTCCTTACACCATTTACTGGGCACTGGTATACAGTAAGTAAGCATCTCCTGTACACCTTCCATGAATGTTGTTCTAACAATAGTAAATCATTCTACAAACAGCTGACCAAACATGCCTGTGAATGTGGCCCTAACAATAATGAAATAAATCTGAAAATAGCCTTCATCAACATCATCCTGTTTCATGGTAGCATGTTGTTGGGTTAGGTATGTTGTACCAGATCATGTTTGTGTCCCTAAATGTTGCTAGAGGAGCTTCAGCAATTCCTGAATGGTCCTAGAAGAGAAACCTACCTCCCCACAAATGTCTGGACTCTTCTGAAAAGTGACCCTTTTTCTTCAACCTAACTTTCAAATCCACTTGGATGGTCACTTTTGGGGAAAATGAGCATAGGAAATTAGTGTAACAAAGGTCTGTGTGACATTTTATGGAAGGGGAAAGTGACTTCTATTTTAGAAAATCTGTAAGGTGATTTTTACCCACTCATGCTGGCATGCACACGTCCACAATTAGAGTTGTATGTTTTGGAATGCTCAGGCCATTGTTGCCTCTGTTTCATACTGAGTAAAGGGCACAGGCTATTGAGTCCTCATTAAGTATTTAGTGCTTTTGATTGGCAATGACAAACTGATTTTTGGACTTTCTTTTTAGCATCCACTCCCTATGGAGCATAATTTGGAGATCTTGTCTTGTTTTATATTACTCCTCAAATCTTTGCTAAAATTCCGGAATTTTACAATTCTTGTTTCCTTCATTCTTCTTTTCTATGGCTTCAGTTTTATCTCTAGATCAGTTTGTTATTCCTCTTCATTTGAATGAACACACATAATAGCATTCTGTATTAATTAATACTTTCCTTTTAATCTTTGTTCTGCTGTCTATTATGTTTTTCATGCATAATTACATATATGCTTACCAATTGTAAGATTTCTGTTACAAATCTGGATATGAATACCCCGTCTTTGGTCAGTTATGGAGATTCAGAGTCAGTCTTGTATTGTGTTCAAGGTAACCTTTTGCTATCACAAAGGCTTAGAATATTATAGTATTTATACTATACAACTTAATTCCCTTAAGTTGTACTGGATGGCTGAAAATTGACCATCAGATCCATCATCCTGGCAGTCCATGGGAATTGTTTATTTCTGTGGGGTTTTTTTTGTTTATTTAACAGCTGAGTCTTGAACTGTTGCCTAGAGTTATTCTGTACAGCAGGTCTCAAAGAACTCAAGTTACTGCTAAGTAACATTTTTTGACCTGCTCCTCAAAAATATAAGAACAAGAAATAGGAAAGCATGCTAAGATTGCCTGAACCCGGAAATAATGGTCTCCTAATTTTTTCAAAATACATCCATATGTCTGTGCAATGTAAGTGGACATTCTACAAATGTGTTAGAATTTAATTATATAACTAAACCTTTCTTTAATAGAAGATAAAATCTTGTATTATGCATCCCATACGCTACTGCATTTTTACTGGCATACAGTTGGAATGTCCATCAGTTAGAAACATAATGATTTTTGTTTAAAGGCCATCTGATTCATAAGATTATTGCATTCTCACTACTTAATATCCTGAAACAGAGAGATGACACTGGTTGTTGTTTTTTTCCCCTGTTCTAGATAATCTGTGGAGTACCTATTCAGAAAAAGGATCAATAGTTGAGAAAAAAGGTCAGCCATCAGTTGCTGGATCAGAGGAGATAAAAACGGGCAGTCTCCCTTACGTTTTTACAGACATCATGACCTACTTCACAATGCTTGTAGGGATTTATTTCCCATCTGTGACAGGTAGATACAACTATTTTTCTTGAGTGAGGATGTGTACTTACAGTTGAAAAAAGATTTTTGTGTGTGTATATGAACATTTATTGATATTGCTGGTCTGTGTGTCCAAGTTTTATGTGCCTAAAACTTCCTGGTGCTAGAGAGAGATAGCTGGCATCTGGTTATTTAGGGGGTTATAGGACTTAAACAAGGAATCAGTTTAAGTGTTATTTTCTATAGCTGGAAAGAAAACAAAAGCTCTGTATGTTACTAAATGCTTATTCAAAATAAGAAACATATCTTTAAAATCTTCAAATTCATGAGAGAACAGTTGAGTAGTAAGATGATTGTTTCAGGTATTCAAGCCATGAACCACCTGTGATTTGTTTAAATGTCCAATTGTTTCTTTTTGCAGCTGTGACTAGTAGAGACTTTTTTTGTCAAGCTTAAAGGTTAGATTAATTGTATATAATTTTCGTCAGGTCACACTTGACTGAAATAAGTCTCAGCTCAAGCAATTGTAATATCAAGTAACAACACACAACTCTGATAAAGTTGCAGCAGTGTTTGCTGCATACCAGGCAGAGGTGTCCCTTCATATTCTTGTCCCCCACTGTTCCCATTTGTCTACTTCAGGCTTTTTTAGCAGCACAGCATAATATCTGAGTCTGTGATTACATTGCATGGGGTTTGACAATGCTTTTGCACTGGAATGTCTTGACATTCAGCTTCCGCATTTTTGTCTCCAGCAGTGGTCAGGGCAATTCTGGGAAAGATGGCAGAATTAATCAATTATGACTTTTTACCCTCCTGTCACAGTATGTGCTAGAAAGTGTGTTTGTTCTCTTGTTAGATTTGAATGGGGATGTGTACATGTGATTTACTAACTATTCTTCTTGTAGTTCCTACCTGCTCCTTTCTCTTTTGTTTCTACATTTTTATTATTTAGTTTATTGATTTGCATGCATGTCTTACTATGTATGTTCTGTTTAGTAGAAAGTTAGTGTGTCTGGTCATGGTAGCTAAATTTGCTAAAAATCCCCATTAGTTTATAACATCTATCCCCAACATTTTGCTACTCCGGTATATTTTCCCTTTTTAAACATTATTATGAAGTTATATTTGGAAAATAACATTTTCATTTTTTTAATCTTTTTCCTTAGCTGTCTGGAAGTTTTTCAATCAACAATGGGTGGTAACACAAATTTCTGAATAAAATGAAGGTTTAAACTGAGGATTTGTGCAGGATTATAATGTGTTTCTGTAGCCTGCTCAATTGCTAATGATGTGTTAAATCGGGCTTAAAGTTAAATGTTTCTATTCTATTATTTATTTATATGGAGTTAGTACTAATTGTTTTTATGACATATAAATTTGGTCTCTTTTTAAGGTATTATGGCAGGTTCAAACAGATCTGGAGACCTCAAGGATGCTCAGAAATCTATTCCTACTGGAACAATTTTGGCTATTTCAACTACGTCTTTTATTTGTATCCTTTATGCTGTGACTTTTTTTTTCTAGTCCATGTTCTATAGGTATAACAGTATAGATTTTTCATTGAAAAGTCATTGGAGTTGCCTGAGTATAAAAGGAATGAAATCTAAAGTGAAAAGAAATATTTTATATTTGTCTAAAATATTGTTTATAAATATTATTAAAAATAGCTCAAATTTTGTTTCTATATATAAGTACTTTTTAATATATCTCCTACTAGTGCTATTCTACATGCTTCATTTGGCAGATTGCTTTGTTGCTATAATCAGTATAACCAATGAAAATCTTAAAGCAAACTACCAGTGATAGGAATAGTTAGTTCATCAATACCTAGAAGACACAAATGCTTATTTATTGATATGAAAAAATACCTGTTCTGTTGCATGATGTATGAACTGGCTGCTTCCAATACTTTAAAAACTGTGAATCGAATGCAACTGTGTATCAAATGCAGTTGTAGAGAACATAAACTAAAAAGTTGTAGCAGGGAAGAGTTAAAAAATAGAACCACAAAACCACCAGAACAAACAAAACACTACCACCACCACCCTTCATTATCATGGACATTTTAATTTCATCCCTACGTGAAAAATGGTGGTTTTTCTCTCTCTCTGTATGTGATTATTTACAGTGTAATCTTCCTTCAGTCTCAGTAATAGATCTCTCCTGTATAGTGTTGTTTGGTGCCTGTATAGAAGGTGTGATATTAAGAGATAAGTAAGTCATACTCAACTTGCAATTTTACAGGGAGTATGTGTAATCATGGGTTATGTTAAAAGGACTTATTAATGGCTCTTCTAGGAATCCTGTCTATGTGACATATTTTTCTTTGCTTAGGTTAAAACTGGAGGGAAAGTTAAACTGAGATGGCTGCAAAAACTGGTCAGGTTATCAGGCTGTATCCCTTCAAGAAGTAGAAGCAGAATCCAAGATAAATGTTTGAAGTGGAACTGTCCCTAATAAAATTTTCTTGAGAGAGAAAATCATAGTATTTATGGAGCTGATGGGTGGGGGTAGGGGGTGGTATTACTTTGGGAGAAGTAATAAGCTCCTGAGGAACAAAGAGAAAAATATTTTTGACAGTTACATGACAAGGAGAGTTCATGAGAGAGGTTACAATGCACCATCAGGCCTATCACTTTCACTGGATGTGTGACTATTTTTTATTTTAAAATATCAGTTGTAGATGAGGAGTTGTGTCAGTTTTCACCCATCTAATTGCCTGAGGACATTTGAGACACAATATGAAGCATGAAGGGAATAAATGTCATGGAGATAAGCATGAACAGAATATCCAGGTTTTGGTAATTTTCTCCATTAGGAGAAGTTGAGTTGACTAAGATGAATCTGCTGGCGAGTTTCACGTTTTTGCTTCTGGTGATGAAGCAATGGCATTGGGGTATTGTTTGGAAGGTGATGAAAATGATGCTGAGACAACTTATTTCAAACCACAATCTTTCAGTCTAAAAGGAAAACCAGAAGTTAGAAGCTGGATTCTAACCAAAGCTAATACAAGAAGCAGCAGGGGATCACTTTAACTTTAAAATGGTGTTGCTGCATCAGTGAAAATATCTGATTTCTTTTTCTTTGAAGTAAATATAAAAACCAAATCAAGCTGATGCTTAAGAAATAGTAAATGAATTCCAAATTATAAATTAATGCAGAACCAATATTTATAAGCACATGCTTTTGAAAGTAACATTTCAAATTTACTGGGAGGGGAAGAATTTTGCAAGGTGTGAATGCAGGTGATCTGTCACTAGAGCAGGATGTATTGTAGCAAGAGCATTGAATCCATGTTATTTCATTTACACTGCTGCTAATTCTTGTTTGGCTAAATCCAGAATAACAGTAAAATGTATGGATCTTGGTCTGGTCTGAAAACGGGGGGGTTTTGTTGTTGTTTGTGGGGGTTTTTTGTTGTGGTTTTTTGTAGGTGAGTTGCGTTTTTTTTTCCCCATGATTGTCTTATCTGCTATGGGGAAAAAATGTAGGTTGTACAATCTTTCAGTATTTGTCTTTTAGCTTTTCAAGTTGATCCTGCCCCATATTTAATTAAAACACAAGCATTAGAATTTGAATTAAGAATGACTGTGCAGCTGTATAAATGTCATCATAGAAGCATAGTATGTTTTTTTCCCCTATATTTTTAAAGGGTATGTTTGTATGTAGCCATGCATCCAAGCTTGGGCATATGCAGGAATTAGAACACTGGCTTATTATATTAACCTGATTACTATGTTTCTTGGCCCTGTTTAAGAGCAGGTCTGAAAAAAGAGGATTTTTTTTTTTTCTTTGTCCTCTGTTTATTTTGAAAAACTTGAAAACAAACAAAAAAATTATGCTATGTAGACAGTCTTAAAATTGATCTTGGCTGCTTACTAACAAAACTAAGATGAACTACAAGTTTACTTGCTTTTTAAAAAAAAAAACAAAAAAACCCGAAAAACCAAAAACATCAGTTTGGGAGGGGGCAGGGGGAAAGAACCTTTTCATAGTTTAACCATGTAAATGTAATGTCCATAAATGAATATAAAGTTAATTATCAAAAAAAGCAATCTGCAGTGGTGTTGGATGGGACACTCAAGACTGTAACGAGAGCACATTTTTCTGACTTCCATCCACTTGTTTGCCATAGTAATCTAAAAATTGCATCAGGTAGCATGACAGTCAGAAGGCATCAGATGGTTGTGTCTAGTAGTTGCTCTATTTACTTGTCCATATGTCAATGTCACTATTAAAAGCAAAGTCTAATACTTTGTTTTGCGAATCCCCTGCTTATGCCCCATGGTGTACCTGTATTACTTGAAAAACAGACTTCTGCAGTCTAGCTCCTAGCAGTCACAAGGATCTAAAGGATGCATATGTAAATACTTTTGCTGTTGCTATTAATTCTGTAAAGTTTGCCAAGATACCTGATAATTGTAACATGTCTGCCTAGAGGCAGCACTTATAATAAATCAGTTATAATATGTTTTCTTTAAAATGGCGAATAAAGGGAAATTGGTTGGTTGGGAAATCCTATAGTGTATACTGTGACATGGTGTTTATTGTTGAAAAGTGCTGTTGTTCAAAAAGATTGAAATGTGGGTGTTGAAGCTATAGTAAGTTATTCTGATGTTTATTGATTTTTTTTTTTTTTTTTCTCCCCTTCCCTAAGGTTTGGAGAAGCAGTTAATGGAAATCTAGTGGTTGGTACACTGGCCTGGCCTTCTCCTTGGGTTATTGTGATTGGTTCATTCTTTTCAACATGTGGTGCTGGTCTCCAGAGTCTCACTGGTGCACCCCGTCTGTTGCAGGCCATTGCAAGAGATGGCATTGTACCATTTATTCAAGTGAGCTTTTTTTTCCTTTACAGTACTTCAAACATGGCTTATATTTTGACAAAAAAAATGAGACATTCTTTCTGCTATTCATGTAGAACTGTGAGGAAAAGATTTGGAGCTCAGTTCTAATTGTGTACAATAATAGATCGAGCTATTGTAGGACGAAGTTTCAACTTGGATATTTCTCTGCAATGCAATTTAATTATTTTTGCTCTTGCCCACAAAGGTTAGTGGTTCAAAACTGACAATATAAGTCTCTTCTGTAAATGGAAATAAATTAAATAAGCAACTAACAACGGAACTTATTGGCTCCAAGCTGTGTTTACAACTTGTATTTGTGAACAGAGTTAATTTAATCTTGCTATGGAACTGCGTGATACTTCTTGTATCATAGAGATGGAATTGTAATTTTTATTCATTTTTCCAAGCTAAATGAAGTCAACAAAGAAAGGTGTAACAATAGAATTCTAACCCATGACTCTGAACATTAAGATTGTTTTGACATCCGTGTGCATGTTCTAAAAATAAATAAATCTGGCTTTTCTCAAGGGAAGTGAGTAAGGGAGCTGGCAAATACAATTGCTGGACTTCACCTGCAAAAACAAGATAACTAGACTTGAGTTAAAAATAAATAAATCAAGTTCCAAGAAATGATAATATCTAGAGAGCAAAGCTGTGATTTCTGTGGTGAAGTTTGGAACTTGAAAGCTTACCTCAGGTTGCCAAAAATAGTCAACAGTTGCATAGCACAATGATAACCTACCAAGAACAGGTTCAAGTATAAAAAACAGGATTATGCCTGACTGAGTAACTGTGAATATTTTGGGAACAGAGTTAAGGAACAGTTGTCAAATTTAGCACACAGAAAGAAATTGCAGATAGCACGGACACTGAAGGTAGCTAGGACTGAATTTAGGATAATAGGCTGTTCTGTATAGAGCGAGTCCTGAGGATTATTTGGAGCACTTGTTTGTTGTTGCGTATCTCTTCGGGAGGTTTATGTCATTATTTTGATACCTAAGTTATGTGATCAAACATGTTTGAATAGTCCCTACTTTACCCACACTTACCTCTGGAGTCTTGACCAGATGTGTGCTGTACGTCACTGTCTCACATTGTGAGGTCATTGTAGTATGTTATGTTAAAAATGGGCTATTACTCTTGATTAATAACTTAAGACTCTATTCAGAGATACCTATAATCTGTCTTCAGTGAGGGCTAGGTATAGAATAGCAGCAGCTTGGTTTGGTTCCTGAGTTTGGGGAAAGCCCACCATGAGTCAACACATTGATGTGTGATTTGAGGAGAAAATTCCTGAGCTAGGATGTGCCTAGGACCATTATGAACTGTGGCTTAGCTGGAGAATTTGATGGGCTTGGGAGGGAAACATTTGAGGAGGAGGGAGATGTGCAGATATGTGGGAATGGGAAAATGAAGAGAGTAAAGGACTTGTGTGAAGAGGGTGAGTGATGCACAGGGAATGAGTTAGAGGAGGTGGTTGGAAAAGCTGAGAAACAAAGCAAAATGGAAGAGGTAATGGTAGTGGCTTTGGCGGGGCAGTGGGTTGACTCTTGTGTGTTGTGGGGATTTTTTGTTAGTGTGTGGGTTTTTGTTTTGTTGGGGTTTTTTTAAAGGCAGATCATACTGCTGTTGTGAACTTTTTTTCTCAGTCATTAATTAGTTGGTTCCCCTGTTGCTACTTCCCTGGTCTGTCTGCTAGTGGCTAGTCTCGGTAGGGCTATACCCTTGATATTTTCAGAATCATGATGGAGTTTGACTTGTGAGAGGGAAGGGGTTGTAATGCAATAAAACTGTAAATGCTGGATTGTATTGAGAGAGACAAATGGAAGACTTCACTTTTGTCTGAAGTAAAAATTTGGTACTTGGTGAGAGGATGACAGTATGATTCTGTCTTATCAAGGTTAGATTTGAAAGGAGTGAAGAATCAGAAAGAAAAAATGTATGTGATTTGGGAAGTGAGGGAAAGGGAATCCAGGAGAAGCAGGGTGTTTGAAGAAGGATTTGAGACTTGAGACATGCTTGCAGTTTTGGAGCTGCTGCATGGACAATCAGGGAAATGAATGCAAGGAGCCTAACATAGGGGCAAGAGCATGACATTTAGGAAAAAAAATACTTGAAACATGAACAGAAAAATGGCATTTTAATACAAGGGAAGGAAGATTGATGGGTGATAGGAAGCTAAGGGAAGAAGACAGTATGGAGAATGAGTGAGGTGAAGAACCTAAACATTTAGAAAGGAAGCTGTTATGGAAAATAAGAGTGAGGGTTTAGTCTTCATAATTGTATGGAGGAATATGAAGGAGAGTAAATATGGCTGGAATTGCAGGTGAGGTGTTTTGCCATCTATCACCAGTACAGCTGGATAGAACTCTCCCCAAAGGAAACTACAACATGCAAAATTATTTTTGGTAGGGCTCTTTACAGGTTCATAGGCATCTAAGTCAATTTTTATGTATGTAAGTACTGGGTTAATGCCTATTTTGTATGTCACAAAAAAGTACTGCCCTCAGCTATATTAGCTTTTTATAGACTAAGCATAAGTCTCTGATGCATGTGGATTTTAAATTATTTAAGATTATTTCAACAGCAACTGCAATAGTACTTTAATGTTATGTAATCATTGCTTATTTTAGTAAATATTTTTCGTATTGGAAATATGTGATTTCACAATTCCATTTGTGGCCTTTTGTAGTAGATATTGCTTAATTTTCCTCTGTAACTAATGACTATTTTTCATTCCAGTTAGAGTTAGTTTGCAATCTGCATCATATTTCATGACTGTATAATGAACAGCTTTCCCTAATCTTACTGTTTACTTGAATTGAACTAGGTATTTGGTCATGGAAAAGCAAATGGAGAACCAACTTGGGCTCTGCTCCTCACTGCTGGTATTTGTGAAATAGGAATTTTGATAGCCTCATTGGACAGTGTAGCACCAATTCTTTCAATGTAAGTATGAATGTGGTGTTTTGTGTTCTTAAGTTAAATAGTATTTTATTTTTAAATTAACTAGGTAATGATTTTTCTTTTTGAGCTAATGCATGCTTGACTTTGTCTTCTAATAAGTTATATTCTTATTTGATCCTGTAGATAATATGAAAGTTGTTTTGGCTGGAACTAATTTCTAGGCACAAAAAACTTTTTCCATGACAGAGTTCTTGAATACTAGTGAAAATATGTTCAACTTTTAAAAACTTGGATTTTAAAATAAAATAATCCTGCTATTTAGTTCAAGTGCATCTTATAGAGACAGACAAAACCATTTAATGGTTTAGGGTGTAGTCTGAGCTTTATCTTACTGACTTTGTCTTGGAAGTTTATCCCATGTGTTGGGTTGACACCCCCCTAGGCAGCTCAGCCCCACACATCTGCTTGCTCGCTAACTCCCCCCTAGTGTGGTGAGGGAGAGAATCAGAAGGGTAAAAGTGAGAAAACTTGTGTGTTAAGATAAAGACAGTTTAATAGGTAAGGGAGAAGCTCTGCGCACAAGCAAAGCAAAATAAGGAATTCATTCACCATCGATAGGCAGATGTTTAGCTGTTTCCAGGAAAGGACAGCTTTACCATGTGTAACTGTTACTTTGGAAAACAGACATCATTAAGTCCAAATGTCCCCCCTTCTTCCTCCTTTTCCTGAGCTCTTACTGCTGAGCATGATGTCATACAGTGTTGAATATCCCTTCCATGAGTTGTGGTCAGCTGTGTCACCTCCCCAAGACTTTTTGCTGGTGGGGCAGCAAGAAAAACAGAGGCAGCCTTGAAGCTGTGTAAGCACTGCTCAGCAATAGCTAAAACATCCCTATGTTATCAACATTGTTTGGGTTACAAATCCAGAACACAGCACCATATAAGCTATTACGATGAAAATTAAATGTATCCCAGCCAAAACCAGTACACCATGATTTTCAGTTGTTTGTTACATTTTCTCTGAAATCTGTTTGAGGTGTTATGCTAATACCATTTTTTGAGCCCTAATATTCTACAAGTATTAATTTAATCTATGTCTTGTGTTCTATTGGCCACTGTGAATGCAGTGTGCAAGGTTCTACCCTTTTTTGGATTATGTTCAGCCTTTTAATGCAAATATGTCTAATTACTTTCCTATTGGAAATTTTGTTTTTCTTAACAGGTTTTTCCTTATGTGCTATATGTTTGTAAATCTGGCTTGTGCAGTTCAGACACTTTTACGGACTCCCAACTGGAGACCTCGTTTCAAGTATTACCACTGGTAGGCAATATTCCTTCATTCAAAAGAGTTAAAACTAATTACACAACCCTAAATTGTTAGATTTTTTTTTTTTTCAATAAAAAAATCTCCTTTCTGACTTAAATGAGTTATAAGAGGATTCATGCTCTGTATAATCTAAAAGCAACAATTGTTTTCATCTGTTTGGAATAGGGTCTAGAAATAGCTGTGGTCATGAAAACATGTCTAATGTAGACGGTTTGGGAGGGGGCTACAGGATGACATTTGGCTTATAAGCCAAGAGATCTTGAGATGTGAGAATGAAGATAAAAAAAAAATTTCTTTTATATATAGCTAAGGAGAACTGGTAAAAAAGTACAGGAAGGTAGATCTGACTTTCACTTTAGTTATGAAAAAAAATATACAAACCCAAAACTTGTACAGGAAAAATCTCATTTAATACACATCAGTTTTAATAATATCATCACTGTTTTTAAAATGTCATGCTTTAGACATTGCATTTGATAACTGAAGTAGACAAGTGGATACTTGACATAGTAAAGGTCAATTATACAAGAAGTGTGGAGATGTGGTTTTGTTCAGGTTTGGAGGTTTTTTTAAATCGCTTAAGAGTTTAAACACTTCAAACATTGATTTATTTTTTTTTTACTGAACGTTAAAAATACATATATTTATTTAATTAACAGTAATTGTATAGACAAATTTTAGTGCTGAAATGCCTTGAAACTAGAGCCTCTAGAAGATAAGCTGTCCTGATTGTAGGATGTAAGAGTTGCTTATTATTTTTCCTTTTAAAGAATTGAGTGAAAATAAAATGTCATGTTTTTAGCCTTGAAAAATCCTTTTGAATGTGCTCTTGAATGGCACTTACTACAGGCCGCAATGGACGTGGAGAATACAATTGATGAGTCAAATTTAATTTAAACTAGTCAAATGTTTTTGCTGGAAGTAACATAATGTTTTTTAGTATTGGTTGAGATTTTTTTTGTTGCTGTTTGAGCTTAAGTTCAAATCAATAGTAAGGAAATGGTAGCAATGTATTTTGAAACTGACCTTGGAGGTACTGATAGATTTTCAGAAATGGCTAATGTAGTAAATATATTAGTATACCTAGTTCAATTGTATTATTTATGTTGACAACAGTTCAGATGTGATTTTTTTTTTTTTTCTTGTAAACTAAAATTGGGACAATGTATTTTTATTTGTACAGTAGCTATGAAATGGCCTTTGTCTTCAAAAGAAAGACCTTTCTGGAAGTTAACTTAAATAAGAAATTTACTTTGTAGAATACTTGCATGCCTAATTACAAAAATGGAAAAAAAAATTATTTCTTTTAGGACTCTCTCATTCCTGGGGATGAGTTTATGTCTCGCCTTGATGTTCATTTGCTCTTGGTACTATGCTTTGATTGCCATGCTAATCGCAGGATGTATATACAAATACATAGAATATAGAGGGTAAGACCATATATCTTCTATGTTTATTTATTTATCTTATTCTATATTTAATATCTTTAACATTCGGCAAAAAGCACTATAGTAGTAGGTAACTACTACTATAGTAACATAGTATAGTATAGTAACAAGGTAAGATCCTGTCTCTCTTAAGGGTTGTAAATTTTCAGGTTCTAATTTCTCTGGAAGCTCTGTTCCAAACTTCTTGATAGCCAGAACTAATCAAAATAAGAACCAGTAAGGCTGTGGGAAGTTTTCATCTGAGCAGAGATTATGGTGTAACATTTTGGTACTTCAGGAACATGAGCTTTTAATATCAAGCAGCAACTATTACAGACTGATACCTTATTATTAACTTGTGCTAAGGCCCCAAAACTCTGCTCTTTTGTGTGTGGACTTTAGCACTTTTAGACTGAATCATACTGAACAATCCAGAGCACCCACTGAAAATGATCTGTGTTCTGAAGGCTCAGATAATCTAAATTGCCACATATTTTGCCTTGTATGACGCTGGGTGTTTACAGAGCCACACCTGTAAGAAATGCTGTGCAAGTAGACTTAAAGAGCTTAAAGTTCATAAAGAAAGAACAAACAAAAAAACCAACTAAACAACATGTCCAAATACTAGAAGTGATTATGATCAGTAATATGTGTGTTTTCCCTTTTTAAGGAAAGCTACTCAATGCTGAAAGATTCTAGTAAAGAAAAATATTGAAGTCTTGGCGTGTGAAATTGAAGTGAGGCCAGTTGTTTTGATGAGTGATTAAGCATAGGTCTGGTATAAACTGCTCCAGCTTGTGGGTTCTCTATCTCCAGTTCCAGATTAGATGCTTTCCTGGATTGTAACAGCTCCATTTACTGAGTTAATGATAGGGAAATTAATTTGCCTATTTTAGCCAGGAAGTCGGATCAGATGATAACACTTCTGCTTGTGTGTGTATGTGGGTATGCATGTACATAAAATTATGTACATCCTAATTCGTATACAGGCTCTACAACTGTTGGCATATAGGCAGCGCATCTACCCTGTAGAAAGAGATTCTTATTTGCAGAAACTTAACTTCTTTTGTCCCTGCCTTTACAAATGCAGAGGCTGATTTGGTGATGGGGAGAAACCCTGAAGTGTTCTAAAAACTGCTGTCTACAGAAAAACTCAGGTTTTATTTTAATTTTTTGATTACAAAGTGAAGGAAACTTAGGTGTACTCAGGGTACATTTTAATTGTCACGTTGTTCTTTAATAGCTTTTGAATTTGGTTTGGATTCGTTCATCTAAATTTTGAAAGAAGGTCAGAGGTAACAAGGTTCAGTGAGAATTCATGAATGGGAATAAGGGAGGGCAAGGGAGATAGACCCCTTTCTGTAGTAGAATCCCCACAAAGGAACATAATGTGTTAACCTAACAGTTCGTTCTTATTTGGTTGGTCACCTGGTATATAGCATAGCTTTGTATTGGGAGCACGAGGAGTAGAAAATGTAGGGAGAATGAAAGTGGTCAGGAGGGTGAATAAAAACTTTAGGCTCAGCTGGGAAGGAAAGGAAGCAGAGAAAGCTGATGTGGTGGTGTTGGGGGAAGATACAATAGCAATCCACAGAGAGTCAAGTTTCACTTATTCATTCTGCTGCTTTAAAACAATTCCTTTTAAGTAGCCCTCACTTATTCATTCTAGCGGTTAAAAGCAACTTACATGGCTCTCATGATTAAAAAAAGCTTTTGAAGTATGAATAAATTAGACCATAATAATATCTAATAAATAGTTCTCTTGAAGGGACCAGAGACTGCTGCTTCTTGCTTAGTCTTCATTCTTGATTTAAATCTGCAAGATGAGGGGTTTTTTTTATGCATTCATGCAAAAAAGGGGTATTTTTTTATGCTTTATTATCCCTTACATGAGAAAATGTACTTAATTTATAAAAATAAATGGGACCTTGTTACTTGAATCTCTTCTGCACCCTGTAGAGCGGAAAAAGAATGGGGTGATGGAATCAGAGGACTGTCTCTGAATGCAGCTCGCTATGCTTTGCTTCGTGTTGAAGATGGCCCTCCTCATACCAAGAACTGGAGGTAAGTCCTATGCCTTCCAAAGTCACATATTTGTTGGGATATGTAGATCTATTGGGAATACTGCTGGTAAAGTTAATGGCCATTCATTGTTAAAATAATGTTAAAACTTGGGCATGGCAAAGATGTCATTGCAATAGAATGCAACTTATGGTCAGCACGCAGTCAGCTTTGTTGGGAATATGGGCAAACTAACTCAGACTTAAATTCATGTGGTGTTGACATAGTTCCCTGAAGTGCAGAAGAATTTTAGTGTTTGATTATTTATAGACTTCAGATTCAAAGGAGCAGTTATCATTGAGTCCCACTGTCTGTATAGAAGAAACGCTGCAATTCCATATGGTTTTTTTCTTTTTATATATATTTTTTTTCAAAATGGAATACAATTTTCTTCAAAGCCAACACAAAAGATTACTTAGCATTTAAAAACAAAAGGACATTTGCACATTGTCACTTCTGATGAATGTAATGCAAATCAGAAGCACTCTGATCACATGCACACAAAAAGCGTGATACTTCAATTATAGTCACTGCTCTGTGATAGTATCTGTGGGTGTAGGCGCATGCAGTGTTCTGTTGCCTTTCAGTGTAATAGCATTATTTTACCATTTGTCATGGGACTGATGCACATAAGCACTGTGGAATACGTGAGCCAGTGCCTTTATCTGTGTCTGAATTTGGCAGCTCCAATATAGCGTTGACTAAATGCATTCATGTTAAATGTCTAACATCACTTCAGTTCCAGATGAGTTATCCTACTGTGTCAATTTTAAGCTTTCCAAGAAAGTCCAGTTCAAGCAATTAGACTTAACTGCTTTTGAGACCGGAAGTATGCTCCAACTCTTCATCGTGCTCTTGAATTTGTAGTAATGATGGGAAAAGTATAAAATATTGGGTTGGGAAAGGAAACAGAATGCATCCTCATTGAGTATGCACTTGAAACTGAACTTGGGGTGCTATCAGTATGGTTAAGGGTATGACGGCCCTTACTGAAGGACCTATGCAGGTAGAGGAATAGGTTAACAAGAACATCATGAAAATCCAGAAGGACAAGTGCCAAGTCTGGTACCTGGGACAGGCTTTATCCAGTGCAAGTTACAAGGCTGGGAATCTGCTCTGGTGAAAAGGACCTGTGGTTCCCAGTAGATAATAAGCCAGCATTGTGCCTTGGCAGTGACATTTTGGACTGCATCAACAGGAGCATAGCTACTATATTGAGAAGTAAATATATTGGGAAATAGTATTCCTCTTTGCTCAGCACTCGTTAGAATACACCTAGAATACTTCATTCAGTTTTAGGCACCCTATTATAGGAAAGACATCAATGAGCTGGAGTGAGTTAAGCAGAGGACCACAGAGATGATGGTTGGGGCACAGGAGCATATCTCCTAAGCAGCTATGCTTATTCAGATTGGAGGAGGCTTAAGAGAAGCCCAAAAGCTGACACAACTAATAAACATCCAATACCTAAAAGAAACATCCAATACCTGAAAGAAGGTTACTGAGAAGATGGAGTCAGTGTCCTTACAGCAGTATGTGGTAGGAGAATGAGAGAACACGATAAACGGAGAAAGGAAAAAAAAAAACAACAACCAATTCAATGACAATAATTAATGAAGCGGTTACCCAGAGGTGTTATCTCTGTCTCGGGAGGTTTTCAAGATCTAACTGGATGGAGCTGTAAACAATCTGGTGTGTATTCAATGTTTAACCACTTGAAGCAGCAGGTTGCACTAGATGTCCTTGAAGGGTGATAATTTTGATTCAATAATTTTATTGATAAAACTAAAAATTCTTTAAGGTAGCTTTTTCGGAATGGTATGGTGGCTCATGAAGATGTTCTGTATCTGAAGTGGTTTTGCTATTGCAAATTATGCTTCCTTGCTTTATAGTTGAATGTTTTCCACTGAATTAGGCACTTTACATGCATTTTATTAATACTAATTCTAATTTTCCAATTCTTCCTTGATTTTCTGTATGTATGTGTTTTAACTTTTTTCTTTTTTTCTTTTTTTTTTGGGGGGGCGTGATGGCAGGCCTCAACTTTTGGTCTTGTTAAACTTGGATAGTGAGCAGTTGGTGAAACATCCTAGATTGCTTTCTTTCACCTCTCAGTTGAAGGCTGGTAAAGGATTGACTATAGTGGGATCTGTGCTTCAGGGAATCTACTTGGATAAGTGTACAGAAACTCAGAAAGCTGAAGAGGTATGTAAAAGACAGCTTACAAACACTTGTATTAGTATTTAAATGTTGAATACAGATAACTCAGATGAAATTAGAACAGACTTGTAAGACTTTACAGAGTTGTAAAGTATTGAATAAAACATAAATTTTTACTGTCAGCACAATCAATGTTTATATACACAGAATAGGTTGGTGTGTGTAGCAAAATGTTTTGATTTGGGAAACAGTACTTGCAGGGCTCTGAACCTTCTGCCAAGGGAAGGTGAGGACCAGGAGAAACATTCAGTACTGGGAATATTGGCATGTAGGAAATTGCTGGAGGCTCACAATATAATACGTTCGCTAAGCCTAGATAGAGGCGAGAGTCTGGGGATCACTAATAGGCTAGGCAAGGAGAAAGAACCAAGGTTAGTGGGGCTGTTGTTAGGCCTGAAAGAGAATGCAAATATGAGCAAGGGCTTTCAGTCCTAGCCCCTTTTAGTGTGGGAGAAATTGCTGGATGTTTGCAATGTCAGAGCTGGGTTCTAGAGTAAGAACGATCAAGAATGTTGAGACCTTCAGCAGGCAAGAAAAGCGGTGAGCCCCAGTGTTCATGGGGCTTTTGAAGGGCTGCCCTAGGGCGCTGAGGACCAGCAAGAGCTTTCAGTCCTCTGGCATCTTTGGTGTGGGAGAACTCACTGGACGCTGGCAATTTTGCAAGTGGGTTCTAGAATAGAGTAATCAAGAACATTGAGCCCTTCAAAAAGTGAGACTATTGCAGAACGGCTGTATTCATGAGAATTTGATAGCCTGTCCAATGATTGTAAAGTGTTGAATCTGATAACTCAGCTTGAATTAGAACAGACTGTTGTAAAGTATTAACTAAAACATAAATTTCTACTGTCAGCACAATTGATGTTTATACATAAAGAATAGTTTGGTGCGCATAGCAAAATGTTTTATAAAATTTCCCAATGGAGCGAGACAATGGTTACACTTCTTAGAATTTTTTTTCTTTAATATTAAGAGCCCTGGGCTCACAATCAAATTTCATTCCACAAAAAAACAGGTGATAGATTTTTAACAAATTACCTTATAAAGAAAATAAATTTATTTAACAAAAAAAATGAACATTTATCTAACAAATGTAGATGTGTTTGGCATAATTTAATCCTCTGAATGTATACATGATACTATTTTCTACATTGTCCTAGCATAGCAGAGCTAGGATTAGGAGCAGTCCTTGCCAGAATCATACTCAACTGTGAACAGCATTTTCTTGGGATCCTTTACTTTTTCTTTTTTTTCTTTCCTGTTTACCCCATATCTGCAGAGAAGATAGGATGAGGTAGGAAAACGTAGTAAATTGTCATGTAATTTAAGATGACATCTAACTGTGCTTGCAAACACAAGTGGATTTAATTTGAATGTTTCCTCTTTTTTTCCCCTGAAAACTTCTCTTTATTTGACTGTGCTACCTGATTGGAAATACATAGACATTTTTGTGGGAAGCCCTTGAAAATACCTGAACTTATTTTTAAATTGTCCCCTGAAGGAAAAAAGGAAGTTAATAGACTGAACTTCTGAAGATCCAATGTTCATACAGCTCGGACTTCCAATGCAAAGCAAGTTTCCCTTTTTTGTTTGGTCTTAAAAAACTTGTGTACTTCTTTGTTTAACCCAGTGTTGGAGTAACTCACTATAGATAATTATATTTGCTTACTGACACAAACTGTCCTACTCTTGGCTTTATAGAGTGGGGCAATATTTTTAGAAAATAATGTTTCATGTATTTTATGAAATACTACTGAACCACCTGTTGCCTTTATGGAATGACTATAAAGTCTATGCCAAAAGTAGGTTCTGATTGCCATTATATTTTCCAAAAATGGTCAATTTCTTCAGTGTTGTTGAAAAGAGTATCAGTTGAAATGTCTGCTATTTTGATCCAAGTCGTCTTCGAAGCTATGTAAAAATTCCTGTGATTTATTCAGACCTGGTATCTCTAAGATTGAAGAGCATTTGAAATTGACCTAACAAAGCTAACTGCCCTTTTTCTCTCAGCTTTCTCTTTTCTCCTTTTCTCTTTTTTTCTTTTTTTTTTTTCAGTGGTTTTTTTGGGGAGGAAAAAAAAACCAAACCAAACCCAAAAAAATGAAGTATGACACCAGATTGCCTAGCTGATATCACATAAAAAGGCTCCTTAGCTTGAAAACATGGTGACAAGTCTAGTCATGATCTATTGTGAATGTAATTGTTACTAAACTGTTAACTTAATTAACTTAGTTAAGCCGTCAACATGTGTGAGTATAAAACAAGACCAAGAATACAATCGGGCATCTGAAATAAAACAAAGAAACCCTTTAAACAGAAACTGTTTTCCCATGAGGATTTGAACTGTCACCTATATTTTGCTTTACTTGAAGTCAATGACATTTTTGAGAGATGGAACAGGAATGAATTTAAGGTAGACCTAATCCCCAGGTTCTCTAGAACATCTGATCTAGTGTTAAGATCGAGGAAACTATTGCCTTTAAAATGGAAATGAAGATGAATTGTAAAAGTTTGAGCATCTGGAGGCCTCACTGATTTTTTTGAAAATTTTAACTAGAAAAAGTTTCTAGAAGATTTGTAGGAAATCAGGATTTCTCCTGTCTGTCTTTGCTACCAAATTCTCTGAAGACTTTTCTTTTCTACTAAACAGAATTTTTGATGTGAAGCCACAGTGAGCCAGTGCCAGGCATTCTCTGATCAAAGCTGATGGTTTTTGATAGAAATTCTGTTACTTCAAAAATTCGAAGTTTTGATGTGCTGGTTCTTCCTTCTGAAACCATGCTGATCAGTCAATAACACAAGTCATTGATAATTAAGGGATTTTTAAAGTCATCCCATCAAAACATAGTGAATGCCGATGCTGATGTTCCCTAGTCAACCTTGATACCGTTTTGAATGCTACTTTTAAATGACTTTGTTATGTGTCTGTGTGTTTGTCAGTGTTTAAATGAAGAGGAGCCATGCTGAAATTAAAGGGGTGTGGGAGATGTAATCTAGTCAGTTTATCTTGTCATTATTCAGGCAGTGATTCTAATTGTCTTCTGCATATCTATTTTTCCAAGTTGGGAACTGATAAATAAAGAATCAGCCTCTTAATCTTGAAGTTGTTTAAGGAGCTTTGGCAGCCTCTTCTTCTAAAGTCCTTGGCATCATATTTTTCCAAACCCTTCCAATTCCAAAAGAAAGGACTTGTTATTCCAAACATATGGTGCTTTGTCAGGCAGCAGTTTTGACTTTACCTGAAGCAGTGTTACTGGTGTGGTGGTTTGTGGGGTTTTTTTGTTTGTTTTTTTTTAATCTTTGTCAATGTGGTTTTACTTTGGTTCATTCTTTTAATTATTCAGCCTTTTATTTCCAAAGTAGTGGAAAAACCTCTGTGTGGTGTCTTTTGGGAAGGTGGGTGTTTTGGGTTTTAGTTGTCGGTCCCGTTCACTCTTGGAGTTAGATTTTGAATTAGTTTCTTGATGTTGGTTGTACATTGTACTCTCTTATTTTGCTCTCTTTTTTTAGTGCCATTTTGCTCTTACTGGAGTCTTTTACCAGTGTTGATGACTTTATTTCCCTATGTAATCTCCCTTTTGCAGAACGTTAAGGCCTTAATGGGAGTAGAAAAGACTAAAGGATTTTGCCAGATTGTGGTGTCTCCTAATTTCAGAGATGGAATATCCTATTTGATTCAGTCAGCTGGTCTAGGAGGGATGAAGCAGAACACAGTCCTGATGGCATGGCCACAGTCATGGAAGCAGACAGAAAATCGTTTCTCATGGAAAAATTTTGTTGGTATGTGTTTATTGACTTTCTCATATGCATTTGTGATACAGCTATGTAATTAATGTGTTTGCTGTGTGGAGGAAATGTGATGCCGAACATCCAGCAGAAAATCGAGTATTTCCCCACATCTTATTTCATGTGGAGTGGCTTTTCTCAGCCCTCAGTCTCTTCAACCATGGCTTCTCTTGTTCTTGTCCTAAGCAGCTTAGTCACTAAATCCAGGATGTTCTTCTTTTGCCTCAACAGAATCTAGGAGGATTTAAGCTTTTGAATTTAAACAAAAACAAAAGCTGTGAATGAAAACTAGAAGTTCTTGATTAGATGTCTTGCTTTCCCTTGCAGACACTGTACGAGAAACAACAGCTGCTCAGCAAGCATTGTTGGTGGCTAAAAACATTGACTTATTTCCAACAAATCAAGAACGTTTTACTGAAGGAAACATAGATGTGTGGTGGATTGTTCATGATGGTGGTATGCTGATGTTACTGCCTTTTCTCCTTCGACAGCACAAGGCAAGGACAACAGAAAATGGCTGGAATTTAATTTTCTAGAAATGAATAGTTCTAAGGGTTTCTAATTAAATTCTTGCCTTGATAGAATTATGCATGGTGATAGCAGTCACTGTGTTTTGAATTTTTATAATGTATCTTTTTGATAGGTTTGGAGAAAATGTAAAATGCGTATCTTCACTGTTGCTCAAATGGATGATAACAGCATTCAAATGAAGAAGGATCTTCAGATGTTCTTGTATCACCTTAGACTGAATGCTGAAGTGGAAGTTGTTGAAATGGTATGTTTCTGCATATTTTTTCTAGGTGCAATTGAGACTAACTTTGGGAAAAGTGGATTTAGCATTTTTGAAACTAAGAGATGTTAACCCAAATATAAAAAGGGAAAGATTGCAGTCTGACCAAGAACAAGAAGTTTTTCAAAGAAATATGTTGTCTTACCTTGTCGCAATGCTAGCGTATGTGGTACTGAATTTAGTGTTTTTTGTCAAGTAGAGTTGAGCCATTTTGATGTGTTAATGCCTACTCTATTTGTGAGGACTAGTCCATAGAGATAGTTTATTCAGGAAGAAAAAAGCTTGAATTTTTAGCAGGCAGTGAAATGGAAGGCTGAATGTGCTTAATCCATAGCGTCTAGGATGAGAGAGGGTAAGCAGTCTCTGCTGTACGAGTATCTCTCTGGAATAAGGACTCTCCATGTTCCCCATGAGAGTATGTCAGTGTACTTGGCATTGACAGCCTCTTTGGCACTGAACAGCAAGACAATGAATTTGTAACTTTTTTCCCTTTTTAAATACTGGTTGTAAAAGAGAAAGGGCTAAATCTATAGTCTGTCTATACCTGCTTTTTTTGACAATTAAGGAAAAACTTCATTCCAGCGCTCAAAGATGACAAGCATAACATCCAGAATAAGACCAAAAAAAGTCATTCTGAAGTGGGATGAATATTGTCAACTGGTTCAAAACTTCTACCACCACCAGTTTCTGGAATGAACAAAACCTACCAAAAAGATCATGCTAATCAGGCAGAGAGCAAATTTTAAGAATCATTTAAATTACTTATGAGAAAAATTACTTATGAAAAATTTGGTTAGTATTTTGAACAAAGAAGTATTTTAGTTTATTATTTAGTTTTATTTTGAGTACTGAATATAAAAGACTAAAATGCTGTGGCATGTGCAGGTGAAAGAAGACTAACAGAGTGCCATAAAAAAGGCTGATGACTGCTGTACATTTTTACACTGTACTTCAGCTTTGAGCTGATGTGAGGATATATGCTGGAGTTTCTTCGCAAATGTTTCTATTTGTGAACATTTCTCACTCGTGATAAGACTGTGTTATTTTCTGTCTCTAGACTGTTCTTAAGGAAACAAGTGGGTATAGATGCTCAGGAGGCTGCAATGCAGACCCAGTTTAAATAAGTGCTTTCAACACTTTCTTGTTTCTGCAGCTTAGTTGAAAAGAACAATGGAAAGTCTGTCCCAAGTACCTCCAATTTAGATAAAAATCATATTGATATTGGTATAGTAGGGTAGTTGAGGTAGTATGAGTTCACTGTTTGAAGATGAAGAATGAGGACAGAAATGTTTGACCAATCATGTGCTTGGAATTACTCTAATGTCATAAATACATGCAGGAATGAATGTTCTTTTGAGAAGTACTTTTCTTCTAATGTTTCTAATGACAATGTCTTTTGCAGTTTGAAAATGATATTTCTGCGTTCACATATGAGAAGACACTTATGATGGAACAACGATCTCAGATGCTAAAACAGATAAAAC